GATGGCTAGCCTCGGTGCCCCATCATCATGCTCCATGTATCCCAGAAATTGTTGAAAAGATCAGAATTAAACGCCACATTGTCTTCCCCAAATGCTCCGAGCCAGAACGCCGCCCGTCTTTGTCACCGTACTGTCTTCCCCAACGCTATATGTCGCATCACCTCGTCTCCTCCTTGACGGCGGACTTAGCTTTTGACTCGGGCTTGTCGGTAGATTTGGACGCGGCAAACTCCTTCCATAATGTGACAATCTCGTCGTTGCCTTCGTTCTTTTCAACAAGGAGGTTCTTGAGCCACTTGTTCTCCATCTCAAGCTGTTGGACTTTGCTTTCCAGGACGGAGACCTTCTCGGACATCTCCTTTGCGGACTTCTCAAGGGCCTGCTCGCGCTGCTTCTTCTTGATGCGGAAGCGGGCACTAGCAGCAGTGTTGCGTCTTCGCTTGTCCTCCTCGGCAGCATGACGAGAGGCTTCCTCAAAGTTGAGGCTTCCGCGGCCGGCACCAGGGCCACTCTCAGAGCCATGCTTCTCGGTTGAAGGCTGAGGAGTAGCTTGCTGGTTGTAATGGGAGGCTTGTTGCTGTTGCTGGACGGGCTGGTAGCCCGCGGGGGCGTTAGGCTGCATAGATGGGAAGTTCTGGGCACCATCCGCGAAGCCATTCAAAGGAGTGGACGGGTAAGTGCTGGTAAAGTCAGGGAAGCTAAAATCGCCTGCCATCGTAATGTGGTCAGTTGATGTCGATAAGAGTCAAGTATCATGACGAAGACGAGAAGAAGATAGTAGACATTGAGAGTTGAAGAGTAACAGATAGTCTTGCATAGGCCCTTGAGGCTTGGGGAAGCAGGCTTTCCCAACTTGGGAAGTGGTTGTGAGGTGCAGGGGTGTAAGTCGATGTCGTGATCAGTGCCGGCAAATCACGAGATATTGCACCATAGACACCACCGTCCTCCAGCCACTGATATCGAGCTGGAGACCCCAGGCGGGCCACACTCAAGTAGACTTGCGTCGGAGGACAACTCGTCCCCAATGGCAGAAAGGCGTGATGCACATCGGGAGCAGGGCTCCCAACGGAAGGTGGGGGTAGTAAGGTTAATGGCCAGTAAAGCAGTAGAGACGCTGTTCATTGCCGCTTTCAGGGTCAGGGTGTATGAGGCCAGGATTTTGACTATCCGCTTGGACAGTGGCCATACTTTTGGAGGAGAGAAGGGAAAAAGCATGAGCGACAACAAGAATGAAGCAAGACGGATATCAGCTCATCTGTGCCATCTTTGCAGGTGAAATTGATGAACAAAATCTCTGCTTTGTGACGAAACCAATGCTCCCGTCTTGACTCGATCTTTGTCTCATTTTCCATGCTTCCAACTGCTCTCTTCAACCTGATGCGGCCATAGGGAAACAAATTCCATACTGCAGAGATAGCAAAAACTCACCCTGAATGAAATCAAAGCTGCTGGGGTTGATATCACCGACAACGGAGGGAGCCGGGGTCATTCCATCAGAAGGCGAGGTGCTTTGAGCAGCCTCGATATCAACCTTCAGAGGTTGAGCCTGATAGTCGGTGGTCTGATTCGTCTCAAAGTCGAAGAACTGAGTATTGGTAAAAAGAGCGAGATCCTCCTCCATGTTGAAAGGCTCCTCGTGAGCAGTCTCCTGACGGTTGATGGCGTTGAGGTCGCGAAGATACTGCGACACGTTGGGGCCGCGACGACCGTTGAAGTTTGACATTTCGGTGGTTTAATCGAGGTCAATAACTCTTTCTTTCAATGTTTTCTCCAATGACAATATGAATTCCTCGCCGTCCCTTCAATCGATGGTCGACGGTTTTGCGTTCGGTTACAGTTCCGAAAGCGGCTCAGCGAGAATGAGCGGGGTTTTGTATGGACAAATTTGCAGAGGCCAAAGACAGTCACAGCCACAATCACAAGTCGAGGGCTGTCGAAGTCGGCGATGTACTTGGACGGTCGTCGGTGGTGTTGTCGTCGAAATCCAGTATCGAAATTAACAGTGAATGTTCTCCGAGGTTGATTCTGGGGGGATTTGAGAGGAGGAAGTGGAGGAAGAAAGAACAGGCAGTCAAGTCGGTTTTCTCAAAGTGGATGCTATGGAAGGTAACTTGCGAGTTGAGGCCGATTGCCGCCGAAGCCACTACCTAACGGAGTGGGTAGTGAGCTGAGAGCAGTCACTGGACAATTCGTGGGACAGGTAGTGGCAGAGTGGGTGGCATCCCCTAGAGGTTTAGTGGGTTGTAATGGATGGGAACCAGGGCAGCATTTTTGGCGATGAGATTGAAGTGAGCCTAGAACATGGGTCTCTTGGGCGAATGGCACAACAGTCTTTGAATGTCGCAATACTCATCTCAGGATGATTTATCCTATTCTTTGTTGTTGCTGTCTGCTTCATTGTGGAACTCTATTCAGAACCCAATTCATTGCCGTTTTGCAACTCAATCAATAACCCTCAACTGGTATTCGGACATGATCGATAGGCTCATAGTGCAGAATCTGATTACCAAGCTTCCCCGAGCAAGTATGACCTAGAGACCGTCGGCTTGCTTAACAATCACGCAGATGATGGTTCCAGCCGTCATGGATTTCCCCTCTCACCCCCCACGCCAACCACCAACCAGAGAGCTACACCAGCCCTCAAGTGTTACAGGGGGACGGCTACCTCAAGCGACGACAGTTCAGGCTGTTAATGGTGATGAAAGTAATACGGAATTTCTGTACAGGACATAAGGAGTCAATACGAATATCTGTTGAAGTTGATAAACTGTTAAGCAACCCATCACTTCCAGCACCGCACTTGGCAATATTCTTTTGTGTGAACAGTACATAATTTACTCTACCCTCTGGACACAAAAACATCAGCCACGGTGGGAACTCAACTCCCCGCCCCCTGTCGTTCATCTGCAGATTTTCTCGCTTTCATCTGAAAACGTGGGTTGTCCTTATTCCTTGTGGTCCCTTCTCCGCTTCGAAAGCGAGGCGTCCTTGTCAAAACGCCAATCTCTCAATCCCAATGAGTGATTATTTCACAAATTATCACACCAGCGTGGGTTGGCTTGCTCTCCTTTACCTCAAAAGGGATGAACTGCGACAAAGAGACACTCCACTCGTGCGTCTTTGGCGTTGGTGTCACAGCCGACAGGGAGCGCCAGGGAACGTGGAAATACGATCAGCCAAGCCACCACAGCGTTTCTGCTGCTCTATAGGTGGCGATTCCGGACAGGCTCGGGGAGTTCGTTCGGCTCTTTGGCTCAGTCGAATAACTCAACTAACCGTATCGCCCCAAGTCTGTTGTTTTGGTTTTCGCTAATAACTCTAGTTTCTTGCGCTGAGCCGAATAATCGGTGAACGGTTTTCACACACAAAGGACATTTCTTTTTTAAAATTCGGCAGTTGAGCCTCGGAATCAAAGGAAACCAACTCAACTTACTGGAAAGATGTTCATCTGCTCATAACCCAGCATTCCAAAGATCAGAAGCAAAATAACGGCACTGTTCTGTACATACAAGTTCCCCCCCCACTTTGTATACATGGTTGATTAACGGTCTTGGTCACACTCATGCATTGTGATAGTCCCAGACAGGCTGACAGGTTCTCGTCTTTATTTGGTGGGTGGCATATGATCCAGCCTCAGGGGTCCCTCGTGCGCTTTTGCGGCTGCAAGTTGGAACCGAGTGGAGGTCATCCCTTGCTTGCGCGTGGGCAAAGTCAATCATGATCCAACCGTGAACCTCTTGGTTCAGGTATGTAGCTTCTTGTTGGTCGGTGCGATTCCTTTGAGTTGAGCCGATGTTGAGTCTCAGGATCCGGACATTTCCCGAACTCCCCGTCAAAATTGGAGCCCCAGGAACGAAATGGATCTCTTGTGGAAATCCTTCTCATTCAATCTCCAAAGAGAAAGTGTCCCCGGTTTGAATAACGACTCGCTTGTCTGCGGCCCCAGGTCACTAGAAGAAAATTATGACACATATTATTGAGGCTCTGGAGACAGGCCTACTACGGGCTTACTGCCTCTCCACTACACTTCGGAGTTGGTGTTCCTTGTGAGGCATCGCTTGTATTACACTGCATGATCCTTGATGCGTTTGTTCCTTCAATCCTTAGCCCGTCATGAAAAATCTGCCGGACAGATCTGCAGGATCATGTCGAAACGTCATAACTCCTGCCCCTCGACTACGTGGGGGCGTTTGTGAAGCCAATCCAGAGAGAGTTCTGAACAGACAGAGAAAATCAATTCCCAGCGCGGCCCGCGGTTGTCGTCAATGATTTGCCCCATTACATCGAGGTCAAGATGAGTTATGACCTCCAACGGTAAATTCCATCAGGGCTAATTGGACCTTCTAGTGTGTAGTTAGCCCGTCATCGGAACCAAACCTGGGAAAGATGGAACCCTTGGTACATAGTGGAACCGCGGTTATGTGGTTCTGACAAGAAGACATGAGGCACTGGAAACTCTGAACCAATCAACTAGCTTCTCCGAGTCGGCTCACGATCATGTCCGAGTCGACCCATCGTTAGAGACGAGTCGCTGGTTTCAACTTCTTATGAAAGGAAAATTTCCTCCCGAAGAAAAGCGGTAAATCTGAAGCTGTTCAAGCATATTGAGCATCTTACATACTAATCCAGACAGACACGATGCGAATCCCCAAGCCCGTAGTTCAAGTTGTAGGAAGATAGATATTTTACATCACGTGAAATCACACGTGATCGGATTCCAAGATGTTCTATCCGAGACCCATTTCTAGTCCGTGCATTCAACAGCGCTTGGTTGGATTGGTTTGAGACGCGACTCCAAAGCGAATATCGCGTCTTATCGAAGCGTTCAAGCATTGTTTATCGACATCATCTGCCTAAAGAGCCAATTGGTCAACCCAACCCAGTTAGACGATAATCGAGGGGGCAAGGTTTGCGGTTTTCCTCAGCGCATGCCTTATTCAACATCTCAAATGGCCACTGTGACTTTACCATTGTAAACACAAACATCCAAACAAACAACAATGGCCCGCTACTCTATCCCAACAAAGTCCAGGCTTCCGTCATCATTACGAGTTGATGCATCTAATCCTGCTGTTGTGAAGAGCCTCAATAGGCTCTCACGAGAGTCTCTTATTTCCCTGGCACTAGACTGGCTTGACGATGAGAGTCTCCCGAATTCTATTCCTTACATTGAGAGGAGGGATGAAGACGACGATGAAGAAAATGACGGTCTTTATCCTCCCTGTCAAAGTATTGACGAATTACAACAACTGTATTTCGATATGCAGCATCAAAAAGGGTCAAAAAGAGATGTTGTCAGCCGTATTGTTGAGGGCGATTGGAGACTTGGCCTGACATTATATCAACTAGCCATGGCTGATATGGCCTATTTCGAACAGAACCCAACATCTCAAAAATGGTCAGCCTATCAAATTCTGCCTCTGAAACAGCCTTCACAAGATGCCGGTGAGGACCAGGTCCTCAGAGTCGACCAAGAAAGCTTGACAATACCTCGCTTTCATCCATCAACCTTTCTCCAGAACCTTCAAACCCATGTGCTCCCTGACGTCAAGGCACATTATCACTTTCACCGACCTACAGCCATACCCGTTCTGCTACTGCGCATTTTCGTCATAGATTCGCCCTACAACACGGACTTTGCTCTTTCAAGTCGTAATCCAAGTGGCACAGCAACAAATTTCGACTCTTCAAGGACAGTGTACATTGCGTTCCCCGATGGATCACCTGCTTTGTACATTACGAAGTCGCAAGCTACAGGCAACACTGGCTCAGGAGAGTCTAAGAGTTTACATAGCTTAATCGTGGATGGGGTACCCAAGGCTCTCTCACGCCCACGTGAGCGGTACACTCTCAAATCAGGAAACCTTCAAAGCAAGAACTTGGATGCACTTCTAGAAAAGAAGGGATCCGGACGCACAAACTCCGCAGGGGGTGGCTGGAGCATCTATTCCAATGAGGCCACAAAGATATCTCCATTGGACACCGTTATTCCAACTCCACCACTGTCTCGAGAATCATCGTCCTCAAGTCTCAGTCTCAAGCGAGGAGTGTCATTCACTGAATCTGAGCAAGTTGCAAAGAAATCGAAATTGGTTGCCAAGGCTCGGTTCGGCGATTCAGGTCTCGTCACTGATGGTAAAGGAGTAGAGAAGGTTGACATCGTCATACAGGATCCGTTTCCTTCTGCAACTGAAGATACTGGTGATACGGAAGAGAATGAAGATAGTGCCACGACAGGGAGCAAGAATCGACGAAAGAGTAAGATTACAGCCGTTATTCGAGAAGCGAATATCACCGCAGAAGAGAACGACGATACCATCTCCTCAGATCGATGGACACCAACTATCAAAGTTACGTTTACTGGAACACATGTATGGGCTGGCGTACGGCAACTTGTAGAGGCTGGCATAATAGATGGAGAGCGGATGCCGGGGTGGATGACAGGAGAAGAGGGAGTAACAACGGGACTTGTGAGGCATGGAAGAATACGTGGATACAAGGGCTCATGGCTGTGAAACAAATGTTGGATCTATAACGGCGCATGGTCTATGTTTTTCTCCTCTATTTGATACCCCCATGACAGCATGACTGCTCAGCCAATTCTTAGCTCTCTTCGAGTCCGAAAACCGTCACTGTGTTCTTCCATGCAGCTTCACAGACTTCCTCGATACTAACTCCCTTGATACCTGCGATGATCTTGGCAACACGCTCGATATTACAAGGTTCATTGCGCCCCTTCACCATGGCTCCCTCTTCCCACTTCTCCTTCTTGACAGTCTTGTATCGTTCCGGGACCTCGGGCTCTTTCTTCTGGTTCTTCTTCGACTGCTTTTGCGGTTTTTGCGTAGACTCAGCGGCAGCGGCAGTCCCATTCTGTTGGTTCTCGACATTGGACGTCTCTTTCTTCTCGATCAGATACTTGTAGCCCTCGTGGCTTGGTCGCACCTCACACCATGGTCCATCCGTCTCAATCATAAGACGGTCCAGGTGAACTTGCTTGACAACAGCGCAGTTCTCTGCGGTCTTGAAGCTACATCCATTGATACCGATGTATAGACCCAAGTCCATCAACTCGCGCATCTCCTCAGCTGTGCCAGTGAAACTATGCACTACGCCGCCCTTCGTCAACTTCTCCAGCTTCTCACCAAAGGCCTCCTTCAGAAGCCGAACAAAGTCATCGTGGGCGGCGCGAGAGTGGAGGAACAAGGGGAGCTGAGGAGATATCGACGCAGCAACCTGGAGCTGAGCTGCGAAGGAATGGAGCTGGATGCTCTTCGAGCAGTAATGAAGTCGATCATAGTCAAGCCCAAACTCACCCATAGCCACAAGGCTCTTCTGGCCTGATGCTTGGGCCTCTGTCACCAAAGAAGTCAAGTCTCTGATGAGTTTACCAGTCTTTGTTGGGCAAGGGGGGTGCTCTTCCGAGACCGGAGCTGAAGGATCGGGATCACACGGTGTTGTGTGCTCAGACTCGTGAGTAGGACCCGCTTCACTGAAGACTGAGCTGCTACAGGGATGAATGCCTGCAGTCCCGAAGATAGTTCCGACTGTGGGTGATGTGAGTCTTGTTATCAGATTGATAAGCAGGGGTGAGACTCACCGTAATCTCTGGCAAGGGTGAGGGCATCTCGAGAGTTGCCAAGGTCTGAGCCGGTCACTATAAGTTTTGTACAACCAACTTCACGGGCTCTTCCGATAATAGCATCGAGATCATCGGGATGTCGCTCTTTGCCGTGGTATTTGCCTCGGAAGATGGGATCGGTCAAATTGATACCGATCTACTGGTAACGCTAAGTGTTAACGGGATCTGATATCGGATACGGAGTATATATCGGGCGATTAACATACATCGATATATCTAGGTTTGTAACTGGAGCCTTCAACGGGCTGAGGCGTTGGTGAAGAGGCCATGTTGCGGAAATGCGTGGCTTGAAATCCGAGACTTGGTGACCTGAAACCAATTCGTGCTGAAGAATGAAAACAGTGAAAGAGAGGTCTCGATGTCATTGATCTTGACGAGCGTGAGTCACTGACTTGTTGCTGCCTCGCAACCGTAATCTCCAGCTGCCTTTTTTTAGACTCAAAATCGTAAAACGGGAAGGTAGTCTCGATTCACGATGATGATTGGCTCTCTGATCTACGTTTTCGTTCACGGTCTCATCCTCCCGTCAACCTCAGTTCAAGGTCTAAGCTCAGTTAATTCCACTGTACAGTCTCCGTATGTTCTCCTGCTTACGTAGAGCTAAAAGACAATTATTAATCTACATGGATCTCACGTGATTTCGCGCCGTTGTCTGTGCCCCACCAAGCCTATAGCAACGTTAGATGACTAGGGGACGCGAGGACGCGATGTGAGAAAAGGGAGAAAGAGCTTTGGCTCATTGCAGCCGTAAAGTGTATGAAATAGGTAATTACAAATTACAATACTTCTGTCCTTGCTAAAGTCATGCGAGTCAAGTGAATTCCTATAACTCCCTCCAATCACCAGCATAATGGAACCCTCCATAACTACCAGTCAAAGCATCAAACGGGGCGTTGCCTCAGGTTTCAGGCGGGGCTTTTTTAATGGATTGCGACGATGCCTGTCACTGTTTGTCGCGCTAAGAACTTGGCGTCGCGTCTCCGGACGCGCCTCCCTTAAAACCTTCTCGACCATCCACGCGAAATTTGCTTTTCTCATCTCCTCAACAACCAGAACAAACTACGACGAATCTTATAATAATTCTCATATTCTTTTTCACCGAAGCGTCAATACCCCTTCAGACGCTCTTCTGCCTTTTGATCTCTTCTATCAGCAGGTATAGATCCTGCTATAGCCTCAAGCCCGAACCCCCCTCCCCGCCTCATCCTCCCTCGGCCGCAATCATGTTCGTCAGAAAGAGAGGTATGTATGATTCGGCAACATAAGAAGTCATGATGACTGACTTGTTCATTAGATGGACGCCAAGAACGTGTCCAGTTCGACAAGATCACTGCTCGTGTCTCGAGACTGTGTTACGGTCTTGATATGGACCACGTTGACCCCGTTGCCATCACTCAGAAGGTTATCTCCGGTGTCTACGGAGGTGTCACTACCGTGCAATTGGACGATCTTGTAAGAGACTCACTCATCATAACTACTTCAAACACCATCTAATTGACCCCTAGGCCGCTGAGACTGCCGCGTACATGACCGTCACACACCCCGACTATGCTATTCTTGCCGCCCGCATTGCCGTCTCCAACCTTCACAAGCAGACCAAGAAGCAATGGTCCGCTGTTGTAAGCGACCTCTACCACTATGTGAACCCCAAGAACGGCCGGCCGTCACCCATGATCTCCAAAGATACTTATGAGTGCGTCATGCGACATAAGGAGGAGTTGGACTCTGCCATTGTTTATGACCGCGATTTCCAATACCAATACTTTGGCTTCAAGACTTTGGAGCGATCATACCTCCTTAAGATTGACGGTAAGATTGTCGAGCGCCCTCAGCACATGATCATGCGTGTGTCTGTTGGTATCTGGGGTGATGATATCGAGCGAGTCTTGGAGACATACAATCTCATGTCTAGCAAGTTCTTCACGCATGCTTCCCCCACGCTCTTCAATGCCGGCACCCCTCAGCCCCAATTGTCATCTTGCTTCTTGGTGGATATGAAGGACGACAGTATTGAGGGAATCTACGATACTCTCAAGACCTGTGCCATGATCTCCAAGATGGCTGGTGGTATTGGTCTAAATGTGCACCGTATTCGTGCTACTGGCTCATACATCGCCGGTACCAACGGTACATCGAATGGTGTTGTTCCTATGCTTCGTGTCTTCAACAACACTGCTCGGTATGTCGACCAGGGTGGCAACAAGCGACCCGGTGCTTTTGCCATCTACCTCGAGCCTTGGCACTCTGATGTCTTCGATTTCCTTGATCTCCGTAAGAACCACGGTAAAGAGGAGGTCCGTGCCCGTGATCTTTTCCTTGCCCTTTGGATCCCTGATCTTTTCATGAAGCGTGTTGAAAAGAACGGTGACTGGACACTGATGTGTCCCAACGAGTGCCCTGGCCTCGCCGACTGCTACGGAGAGGAGTTCGAGGCTCTGTACGAAAAGTACGAGAAGGAGGGCAAGGGTCGCAAGACCATCAAGGCTCAAAAGCTTTGGTACGCCATTCTCGAGGCCCAGACTGAGACCGGAAACCCATTCATGCTCTACAAGGATGCCTGCAACCGCAAGAGTAACCAAAAGAACCTCGGTACCATCCGAAGCTCCAACCTTTGCACTGAAATTATCGAGTACTGTGCTCCTGACGAGGTCGCTGTCTGCAACCTTGCCTCTCTGTCTCTGCCCTCCTTCATCAACTACGATGAGGCTTGTTACGACTTCAAGAAGTTGCACAAGGTCAGTCAGGTTGTTATTCGCAACCTGAACAAGATCATCGATGTGAACCACTACCCTGTCCAGGAGGCTCGCAACAGTAACATGCGCCACCGACCCATTGGTCTTGGTGTTCAAGGCCTTGCCGATGCTTTCCTTGCTCTGCGTATGCCCTTCGAGTCACCCGAGGCTCGTGAGCTCAACAAGCAGATCTTTGAGACCATTTATCACGCTGCCCTCACTGCCTCCGTGCAGCTGGCTAAGGAGGAGGGTCCCTACTCCACCTTCAAGGGTTCCCCCGCATCTGAGGGTATCCTGCAGTTTGACATGTGGAACGTCAAGCCCTCGGACCTCTGGGATTGGGAGACTCTTCGAGAGGAAGTCAAGACACACGGCATCCGTAACAGTCTGCTCCTTGCTCCTATGCCTACTGCCAGTACCTCCCAGATTCTGGGCAACAACGAGTGCTTCGAGCCCTACACCTCCAATATCTACCAACGCCGTGTTCTCGCTGGTGAGTTCCAGGTTGTCAATCCCTGGCTGCTCAAGGACCTTGTCGACATGGGTCTGTGGTCCGATGCTATGAAGAACCGCATCATTGCTGAGAATGGTTCCATTCAGAACATTCCCAACATCCCTGCCGACGTCAAGGCTCTGTACAAGACTGTCTGGGAGATCTCTCAGCGCCAGGTCGTTCAGATGGCTGCTGATCGAGGTGCCTTCATTGATCAGTCCCAGTCACTGAACATCCACATGAAGGACCCCACGATGGGCAAGATCACCAGTATGCACTTTGCAGGCTGGAAACTTGGCCTCAAGACCGGCATGTACTACCTTCGTACACAGGCTGCTGCTGCTCCTATTCAGTTCACTGTTGATCAGCAGGCTCTCAAGCTTGCCGATTCCAATTCAGCTCAGATCAAGCCTCTGAAGAAGCGTGCTCCTCCTGCTGGTTCAAGCTACCTCATGTCCTCTCCCTCAACTATGGGACGTACTGAACTTAACGGTAGCAGGACTGGCTCCCAAGACAGCGGCCTGGACGGCAATGCGGCCAAGGGCCTGAATGGTACTACGGCGGTACCTGGACGTGCACCCACCATCAAGGCTGATGTTGAGGAGGGTGACAGCCCCAAGGCTCTTCCCACTGAGCCTGCCGAGAAGG